AGGATGAATGTAAAATTAATGTTCTCCCATGTAAACTATCACATAATTCACAATAAAACATTAAAATAAAAAATAAAGTTTTTAGTGTACATTTTATTTGTCACTGTAACTTATGTATGTTTGTATAATGTGCTGTTTTAGGTTTTTAAGAGAGAATGGCCTAGTTGTGGTCTCATTGGGTGAACTCTCTCCCTCTTGTTTGTTGCAGAGTGTCCTGCATTAGTCCAGGAGGGGTGTCTTTGGGCCCTTCTCATGCTCTGGGCCTGGGGCCTGGCCACTGTGGGATGCTGGGGAGAGCCCTGCTGTCTAGGCCCTGGTTGAGATTGGCCAGTGGGAAGCCGGGTCTGGAAACCTGGGGGAGAGAGGTTCATGAAGCCCAGGTAGTTCCATCCACAGTCATCTCTTCTGGTCCTCAGGGCTAGTTGTCTCTGTCAGAAAGCCTTCTCCATTTTTTATAAATAATCCCTTTATGAAAGTCTCCTCAAGTTACCTAATGTGACCAGGGCATCAGTTTCCAGTTGAGGTTCTATGTTCATGTTCTTGTTACGTGCTGTTGGGTTGCTTCCAACCCTGTATTGCGCTTCCAAGGAGCAACTAGAAGGCTTGAATCTCCAACTTTTCAGTTAGCAGTCCAGTGCTTATCCCATAATGCCACACTGTAAATTGATGCCACAGATGGGTAAGAATTTATTATCTTACGGTTGTGTCATTTAGCAATCCAGCGCTGGTGAGATCAAGGTGTCTGCAGAGCTGTGGGCCTTTCTGGAGGTTCTAGAGGCAAGCCTATGTCTTTGCTTTTTCCGTCTTCTAGAGACCACCAGCACTTCTTGCGTCATGGCCCCTTTCTTTCAAAGCCAGCGACAGTAGGTCAGACCCTTGTCATAACATCACCTCTCTGCTTCCCTACTGCTGGGGAAGTAGCTCCAATTTTAGAGGCTGATGTGGCTAGATTGGACCCCTCTGGTTAGTCTCTTCATGGAAAGGTCCTTGATGGTAATCACATGTGCATCTCTTTTGCCTTGTCAGGTAGTATAGTCTTTGGGGGCCATTAGTCTGCTTATCACAGATCTAACTGACCAAGTCCTGTGCTCTCCAGACTTAGAAATACGATTGTATCTGTCATGTCTGAAGGATGCTGCTCTGGGGAGCCCATTCACACTAGAACCAAATGGTTGTGGCAAACATCACTGAGTGGTATTCTGTCACTTGCAGCCTCCTACCTGACAGCTACTCTGCTTGGTGGGCACCAGTTGGCTCATTTGGACAAACCTGGCCTTTCCCAAGATGATATAATTCATGAGGCGTGAGATAGGATTCAAAAGCCCGACACTCTGAATTCAAAAAACGTATTTGCCACAGAATCCTTCATGTTAAATTTTTTTTCTTACTGATTTTAATCCAGTTAAAAGAAAGAGATCTTTTGTGAAGTAGCAGAACAGGGAAAAGTGTGTGGGGATGCCAGCAGGAATCCTAAGGATCGGTGCTGAAACATGGTGTCTTACGTGGGGTGGGTGTGTGCTATGTCCAACACTGCCTACTGGTCTAACCAGCTCGAGGAAGTGGAACACTTACTTGTCCCCTTTACCAACACTGAAAGTAAAATTTGTAGAAATAGATACACGTTAGGTTTTGTTTTCAGTTGTAGCAAAAATGTGTATAACAAAACATTTGCCAATTCAACAGGTTTTACATGTAGCTATGTTAGCTTTTGTGTTTGCTTACCTGCAGTTTAGAAAACCAACTAACCTGTGACTTTAATTTGCTTCTGTAAATGAACTGAGTTTGGACAAAGTCATCTGTACAGACTTTCTTGAAATGGGCTTAGTGAGTTCGGCATGAGTCAAGAGAAATGATGACGGAAATCCACAGGATATTGACTTGCAGTGATATTGAACTCATATTCAATATGACCTTGACCTCCAGGTCACTCAACTGAAATGACTAATGAGGATAATTACCAAAATCCCGTCCCCACTGAGTTGATTCAGACTTACAGCAATTGTGTTGTATAGAGCAGATCTGCCCCAGAGGGTTTCCAAGGCCATAAATCTTTACAGAACCAGCCAGCCACATCTTTCTTATGTATAAGCTGCCAAGCTTTTGCTTAGTAGATGAGCACTTAGCTAAAATGGTGCCACTGGAACTCTTAATGAGGATGGTTCTAAAATCAAACTTTCCTGGGTGGCGCCATAGGATCAGCACTGGACTGCAAACCGCAAGGTCAGTGGTTCAAACCCACCCACTGCTCCTTGGAAGCTCTATATTGTTCCCTATGAGTCAGAACCAACTCGAAGGCACTTAACAACAACATTGCCATCAAGTACCCTAAAAATTCTGAATGAAATTCTATCCTATCTCCTTGAATTTCCTTAAAATTATACCATTTTCCATAAAGTAAGGCTACCCCTTATTGATAAGTCATTTTAAGCAGATTTATTGAGAGAGAATGTCACATAAAATTTACCCTTTTGAAGTACACAATTCAATGAATTTTAGAGTATACAGTTATACAGTATCACCACAATCTAATTTCAGAACATTTACATCATTGAATCCCACATATAGTAACCCTGTTTAGTGTTTCTGTAGATTATTATGGGAGCAGCCGGCCTCAACTTTCTCCAGTGGGATGCCAGGTGAGTTTAAATCACCACCCTTGGCATTAGCAGTGCAATTCATAAACCATTGGGCAAGCAGGGCTCATTACCCCTGCCCTGTTGTTGTTGTTGTTGTTATAAAGTGCCATTGAGTTAGTTCTGACTCATAGAGACCCGGTTGATGGGTTTGAACCAGCCTAGTGGTTAGCAGTTTAGTGCTTATCCTATAGTGCCACACCAGGACCCCAGCCCTAGACAACCACAAATCTATGCCCTTTCTCTCTGTGTAGGCCTTTTCTAGACATTTGACTTTAAGTAGATACCTTGTCATTAAAGAAGTCTAAGAAAGTTCGAGCCATTCAGCTACCGTAGGTGGTGTGTGGAGTAGCAGACCTGACTTTCTTCCTTGGGGCCTCACTGTCTTTGTGAACCCTCCTTTAGGGTCTTACTGGTTGCATTGTATTGTTGTAGCCTGAACTGCCTGGTTTGAAGGGCTTTTATTTTTAGTGATTGGTGAAGAAGAGTGTGGAAGGTTAGCATGGGAGGGTGGAGAACTAGTGCTTGTCCTGCTCCCAACGGCCACCCCTCCTTTACTCCCAATCACACTGAGATTACATTGCTGCCTAGTTGTTGTTGTTAGATGCCATCAAGTCGGTATCGACTCATAGAGACCTACCCCACGCACAGCAGACCAAAATAGTACCTGGTCCTGCGCCAACCTCACAATCCTTGCTACACCCAAGCCCTTTGCTGTTGCCACAGTGCCAATCTATCTCATTGGAGGTCTTCCTCTTTTTCTCTGACCCTACACTTTACCAAACATGATATCCTTCTCCAGGGACTGGTCCCTTCTGACAATGTGTCGGAAGTATGAGAGACAAGATTGGGCCATCCAAACCTCCAAGGAGCACTCTGGCTGCACTTCTTCCAACACAGATCTGTTGGTTCTTTTGGCAGCACATGGCACTTTTTAATAGTCTCCTCCAACACCATAACTCAAATGCATCAGTTCTTCTATGGTCTTCCTTATTCACTGGCCAACTTTCGCATGCATATGAGGTTATTGAAAACACCATGGCTTGGGTCAGGCGCACCTTAGTCCTCAAGCTGACATCTTTGTTCTTCAACACTTTAAAAAGGTCTTGTGCAGCAGATTTGCTTAATCCAATACATTGTTTGATTTCATGACTGTTGCGTCCATTAGTGTTGAGCCGAACAAAGTGAACTCCTTGACAACTTCAATCTTTTCTCCATTGATATGGGTGTTGTCTATTGGTCCAGTGATGAGGATTGTTTTGTTTTGTTTTTTAATCCTAGAGGTTGCAGTTACAATGGCCAGCGTTGTGGTCCATCGACCTTTCTAAAAACACTATGGAAGGTCTTCTTTTTTATTTCACTGCTAGCTTACTTTAAAGCACGCCAGTTATTTACAGTTGCGATTACCTGGGTTCCATTTGTGAGCCCTTACAAATTACCTCAGTCATGTTGTAATTGGAATTAGGTGGAAGTTCTTTGGGTCTGATTCAGCTCTGATAGGTTGAATGAAACCTGGGACCTGATTCAGTTAATTACCCCAGAAAGAGGAAATAAATAAAACAGTTTACACAGGGCCTGTGTTGACTTTCTATCCAAATCCAAAGGTCAGTTATTTCTCAAGGCATTTTATGTTGGGTGTGTCAAGGTTTTAATTTGGGAAATTATTGTTGATTTTGTTAATCTTGCCTTGAATCACCCATATATATACTCAAATAATTTCTAAAACAGGGAGGAAATGTAAAATGGTTCTTACAGTAGTTGACTCTATAAAAGTAGCAAATTCGCCAATAATTTGGATTTGTATCTCAATTCTCTTACCCAGTAGCTATTTGATTTTTTAAATCTTGCCTTGAATCATCTGCGTATCTACTCAGAAGTAATTTGTAAAACAGGGAGGAAATGTAAAATGGTTCTTACAGTAGTTGATTATAAAAGTAGTAGACTCATCAACGAATTGGCTTCGTGTCTCAGTTCTCTTACACAGTAGATGTTGATCTTTGCTTTGCTACCTATAAGATGAAAGTTTAGACTAAATTTCCTGCAGTTCTTTCTAGTCTTAGTATTCTATGTTCTGTTGGAGTGTTTAAATGGTGTGAAGAATTTTAGTCTAGTACCGATTCAGCACAGATTGAACACCTGCTGGACACTGGGTTTTTGACATGTAGCATCATCTTGTGTTTAACGATGACGTCTCATTGTTGCCTTCTCCCCACACAGGGTCGGCCGGCGGCCTGTGCTACTGTTTTCCATCATCTTCATTCTGATCTTTGGACTGACCGTGGCGCTGTCAGTGAATGTGACGATGTTCAGCACGCTCAGATTCTTTGAAGGGTTCTGCCTGGCTGGAATAATTCTCACCTTGTATGCATTACGTAAGTAGGAAACTTTTCTACTCTTGAATGAATTAACAAAAAGTATTTTTGCTTAAGATTCTGGGAAAGGAGTGCTGTGCATTCGGGTTGTTTGGAATGTCCCAAATTGTTGTGAATGTTTTCTCAGGTAGTACCACTCAGGTTCAACTCTATTCTGATCTCCAGCTGGGACCCACTTTATAACAAAGGACACGGAGGGCTACCAAATTGTTTGTTGAAGTAGGGAACAATTCACCAAGTAGAAATGGACTTTCACTTTTCTGCTGAATTTTCCTCATTGGCCTTCTGTGTGCTTCCAAATACAACACACCATTGGGCATCCTTTGTTAACCAAGAGCACACCAAGAACTTCTTACCCGTGTTAGAAATGAACCCCAATGTCGCACAGAACACTCAGTAAGACTAAATTACCTTGGCAAGGCAAAATTTCCTTCTGCAGAAGAGTGTGTGCGCGTAACTGTACAAGAACAGGCTAGCGAGCATGCCAGGCGGGCAGTCCACTCGGGTTTTATCCCTGATGCAACTCCTAAGTCTGGGTCTCACCCCATTGGCCAGGGCTTCGACTGCACAGTCTTTTCCCTTACCCGGTTGGCTAATTCAAATTTCTAAGGCGCTCATTCTTCTTACTCACTTCAGGAAGCAGCAAAAACTAAAAGAAAGGTCACCCGAATACAATAAACAGGATTACAATAATTTTGAAGAAAAGACACTTATTCCCACAGCTGGAGAGTCTGGACATAATTTTAGATTGACTCTGATTTTATCTCCTTTTTATCTCTAAGGCTATACAGAGTCCAAGTGTTCCACATGTGAACTTAGGTGGTCTGGACTTGAAAGCTGCTTGTAGTACTGGAAGAGAAAATGGAAAAATTTGTTAGCAGTTGCGTCCATCAGTCTGTTACATTGTTGGCCATATTAACACCTGTGTCCCTGTGGGTCTATCTGTTCTTTGTTGGTGGTGTTTTCCAGAGTACAAACACAAACCTGTGAGGAGGAGGAGGGCTATAGATGTGAGTGCTTGATTTATTTACTAGTTCTCCACTTGATAATCATCTGTGGAGTCCACCACTCGTCTGTCAGTTTTTCATACTATGGCTTACGTGTTACTGTGATTCTGGAAGCTCTGCCACCACTATTTTAATGTCATCAGGGTCACCCATGGTGGTCAGGTTTCAGTGGAACTTCCAGACTAAAACAGACAAGGAAGGAGAGACAGACCATTTCTGGATGGATAGCCACTGAAAACCTAGTGAGTAGCAGTGGAACATTGTCAGATATAATGGCAGAAGATGAGCCCCTCAGATTGTTGTTGTTTTAGTTAAGTGCCGTTGAGTCAGTTCTGACTCATAGTGGCCCTGTATAGGATTTATGAGGAGTGTCTAGTGAGATTGAACCACCAGTCCAGCGCATTATCCTGTAGCACCACACCAGGACTCCTCAGATTGGAAGACCTTAAAAATACAATGGAGGAAGAGTTGCCCCTCAAAGTAGATTCGACCATAATGAGGGCATGGAGCAGAGCTTTCAGGATCTTAATTTGCTGATGGGGCACAGCTGAAAATGAGGAGAAACAGCTGCAAATATCCATTCATAAGCACAACAGGGAATTTATAAAGTATGACTCTAGGAATTTTGCAACTTGTCAAAAATGAATTGGAATGCATAAAGATCCATAGACTAAAATGGACAGACATTGGCCATTTTGAATCAGACCATCACATATCCGGCATCATATTCATCATCAAAAAGAGCATTTCAAGATCTTTCTTGAAGTACAGTGCTGTCTGTGATGGTATCCATACCTCTACAAGGAAGACCAGTTAATACCACTATCATCCACATTCATTCCTGCCACCAGCCGCTGAAGCCAGTGAGGATGAAGAACTACCAATTTCTTGTCTTAAATTTATCAAAATTGCTATCAAGATATATTGATCATTACTGGTGACTGGAATGCAAAGGTTGGAAACAAAGGGAAAAGAGCAGTAGTTGGAAAATATGGCCTTGGCAATAGAAATGATGTTGGAGATCACATGATAGAATTTTACAAGACCCAAGACTTAGTCACAGCAAATGCCTTTTTTCAACAACACAAAAGGTGAGTCTCTGTGTGACCCTCGCCAGAAGGAGTGCACAGGAATCAAATTGACAACTTCTGTGGGAAGAGATGATGGAGAAGCTCAGTGGTGGTGGGCCATCAAGTTGGTAACTCATAGAGACCCTCTATAGAGTTTTTGAGAGTGTCAGTCTTAATGGAAACAGAAAGCCTCATCTTTCTCCTATGGAGCAGCTGGTGGATTTGAACAGCTGACCTTGCAGTTAGTAGCTTGATGCATAACCCACAATGCCACTAGAACTCTTTGTAGAAAATCAATATCATCGACCAAAACAAGGCCAGAGAGCAACTATGGTACAGACCATCAATTGCTCATATGAAAGTTGAGGCTAAAGTTGAAGAAAATTAAAACAACTCCATGAGAGCCAAAATAGGACCTTGAGCATATTAAAGACCATTTCAAACACAGATTTGATGCATTAGGCACTAATGACTGAAGACCAGAGGAGTTGTGGGATCACATCAAGAACATCATACATGAGGAAAGCAACGAGTCACTAAAAAGACAGAAAACAAATGATTGTTTGTGGAAAGACCAAAGTGGATGTCAGAAGAGACTCTGAAACTTGCTCTTGAATGTAAAGAAAGTAAAGTGAATGGAAGAAGTGAGAAAGTAAAAGAGCTGAACAGGAAATTTCAAAGGGCAGCTTGAGAAGACAAATCCAAATATTATAATGAAATGTGCAAAGACCTGGAATTAGAAAATTCAAAGGGAAGAACACACTCAGATTTTCTCAAGCTGAAAGAACTGAAGAAAAAAAAATTCAAGCCTTGGGTGGCAATATTGAAGGATTCTATGAGCAAAATATTAAATTACACTGGAAGCATCAAAAGAAGATGGAAGATACACACAGAGTCACTGGACCAAAAAAAATTGGCCTGTGTTCAACCATTTCAAGAAGTATCATCTGATCAACAACCAATGATATCGAAGGAAGAGATTTAGGCTGCCCTGAAGACATTGGTGGAAACAGGACTCCAGGAATTAATAAACTATAAATTTAAATGTTTCAACACTCTGATGCACTGTGGGAGGTGCTCACTCATCTGTGTCCAGAAATTTGGAAGACAACTCTCTGATCAGCCTATTAGGAGAGATCTATATCTATACGCTTTGCAAAGCAGAGTGGCCCACTGGAATGTAGAATTCATTGAACAATATCATTCGTATCAAATGCAAATAAAATGATGCTGAAGAGAATTCAAAAATGACTGCAGCAGCACGTCAAAAGGGAGCTGCCAGAAATTCAAGCTAGGTTTTGATGAGGATGTGGAATGAAGCATATCATCACAGACATCAACTGCTCTTAGATGAAACTGGAAATGCAAGAATGATGTTTACTTGCACTTTATTGACTATGCAAAGACATTCAGCTGGATGGATCATAACCAACTATGGATAACATTGAAAGGAATTGGTATTCCAGAACTGTGCTCATGCAGAACCTGTACATAGACCAAGGGGCAGTCATTCAGCTGGAACAGGGGATACTGAATGGAAATCCAGAAAGCTGTGTGTCCGGGGTGTTCTTTCACCATACTTAATCTGTATACTGAGCAAATAACCAAAGAAGTTGAATTATATGAAGAAAAACATGGCATCAGGGATTGGAGGAAGACTCACAACCTGTGATATGCAGATGACACAACTTTGCTTGCTGAAAGGAAAAAAGAGTTGAAATACTTACTGATGAAGATCAAAGACTATAGACTTCAATATGAATTGCACCTCAATGTAAAGAAACTAAAAATCCTCACAACTGCATCAATTAACATCATGATAAATAGAGAAAAGATTGAAGTTGTCAAAGACTTTGTTTTGCTTGGATCCACAATTAACACTCATGAAAGCAGCAGTCAAGAAATCAAACAACATATTGCATTAGGTAAATCTGTTGTAAAACATATCTTTAAAGTGTTAAAGAGCAAAGATACCACTTTAAGGACTAAGGTGTGCCTGACCCATGCCATCATATTTTCAATTATTCCATATACATGTGAAAGTTGAACAATTAATAAGGAAGACCCTGGAAGAATTGATACATTTGAATTATGGTGTTGGCAAAGAATATTGAAAGTGCCACGGACTGCCAGAAGAATAAGGAAATCTGTGTTGGAAGACAGCCAGAATGTTCCTTAGAAGCCAGGATGATGTGATTCGGTTTCTCATACTTCAAAGATGTTATCAGGAGGGGCCAGTCCCTGGAGAAGCACGTCATACTTAGTAAAGTGGAGGGTCCGTGAAGAAGAAGATGTCTCCCAATGATATGGATTGATACAGTGGCAGCTACAATGGGCTCAAACATAACAACTGTGAGGATATGAACAGTGTTTAGTTCTGTTGTGCGTATGGTTGCTGTGAGTCAGAACTGACTCATGGTACCTAACAACAACAATCATTTGTGAAAAGATCTTTTCAGTATCATTTGTGATCTTGTTTGTCCTTTTCTCTCCCTTTGATGGTATGCGTAGGGGTCAGTTAGAGATGTGATGACAATGTTCAGTGAGTAAGGCAAAGATAGCTGTAGTTATTTTAAATTTGCATGTTGACTTGGTAGCATTTTTGGTAACCTAAATTTTGTTCTTCTGCTATACAAAATAGAGATATAATCAGTTTATGACATGACTCTCTAGTCATAAAGGAGGAATAGCCGTGGAAAAGTTAACAGATGTGCGTTTCTAAATCCAAAGTTGCCATTTTTGTTCTCCTCCTCGAACAGCCGAATTGTAGTTTCTTAGAAATCATGTTTTCCAGTGTTTATTTTGTCAGCTTGGCTGATCTCTTAGAGGGATGGCAGCCAGTGGGTTAGTGCTCAAGGTTGGATGCTTTGGTGCTAGGTGGTTTGGGGTTCTGTTTCTCTACATAGATCACATGGGTCTTGGG